GGGTGATGTATGTAGGTACCCATGGCTGCACAGACGTACCCCTAGCTGGCTGCATGAGCGCTGGAGCGGGGTTTAGACCTGGACATGGGGAGTCACACGCTTCCCTGAGGAGCTGAACAGCCACAGTTATAAAAATCAACATTTTTTTTGCCAAGTGCCTCAAGGCTGAGGTCACCCCTTTAGCACAGGGGTCCCCTTGTCCTGCTGCCCAGGCTGCAGGATGGGAGGGGGCCACGGGGTGCCAGCACCCCGGGGGGCTTGGGGATCCCGGCTGTGGCAAAGTGGCCAGCACTGTCACAGAGCCCGTGTCCCCCCACGGCCAGGCTAAACGGGTCCCAGACTTTTCCTGGCAGCCAGGGGGGAGAAGGAGAGGTCACACCAGCCTTGGGAAGCGGCCAAGGGAGTGGGTGACGCAGGCACACCTGACGCACACATCTGTGCCATTACAAGATGCATGGTGCACTTTCCACCTTAACTCCTCCCTGCCCGGCAGAGGAAGCTGGGGACAGCTCAGAATCGCTTTGAAATATGTCAGATGTGTCCAAAAAGCTCTGCCCTACCAGTGGCCTGAGCACAACCTTCCTTCAACAGAAATAATAATAATAACCTGGGCTGTGCCATCTAGGCACCCTCCCCCAGACCTGGTAGGAAGCATGGTCCCATGGCAGGTTTTTCAATCCTGACCATGCCAGCTTGTCCCAGGCATGTTGCTGATGCAGCAGGCTGTAAAACACAGCGGCACCACCCTCTGTGCAAGCCTCAGGGTGCAGCTCAGCTGAGCCTCAGCGCGATGCCGTGCCATGTCAGCAGGACCTGGCGGGGTACGGGAGGGACTGAACCCCATGGGGACACCCAGGGGGGTGCAGGAGGAGCACAGCTGGCACAGGATTTTCTCTCTTTCCTCCTCTCTGCCATTTCCACCTCTCCCAGGGCGGTAGGAGGGATGCACGGCTGTGGGAAAGGTGACAGGAGCTCAGTGGGGCAATGGACCCACTATCAGAAGATGGTGGCATCCCAAAGCCAACGCAGGAGCGCTGTCTTCTGCTCCCAGGAAAGCAGACCCAGAGGAAGGGCACAGCAGAGGGATGCTTTGCTCATGGCCATATAACCTGGCCTGTATAGCTGCATCCCCTCAGGGGGGTATGTGGGTTCATGGGGAGCTTGCATGGAGCAGCCCACAGCTCCAGTCTTGTTTGCCCACCTGAACCCCTCTTGCTGTCCCCCCAGCCCCCACTGTCCCACCACCCCACAGCAGCCACATGCTGGCTCCATGTGAGACACAGCCACGTTGGGGTGAGGCTGGAGAAAGCTGCAAAAGGAGGTGGAAGGCCACGAGACTTTATCAGCCTGTGACTCAGCCTGCCTTGCCGTCAGCCAGCAGCGAGAAGGTGTAATTAAGGTGAAAAAAAATTTCACATTTCTGAAGTCTTGATCATCCAAACACTTTTGTGAGACCCACTTCCAAAGGTAAGCCTGTGCTCGGCTCCAGGCAAGGGACAGATTTCTCCAAGCACTCATTCCCGGTGATCCAGGGCAGCTTTTCCCTGCCTGCCCATGGCTCAGCTCCCAGCCTGCCCGCACCCTGCCCACACCCTGCCTGCACCCTGCCTGCACGGCTACCTGCATGCCCTCCTGGCAGCCCAGCCCCAGGCTTGTACGGTGGCACAAGGTGCTGGGAAAGTCCCAGGCTGCCTCTGAGAGCTTGTCATTGTCACCGCCACGCTGACTTAACCCCCCTGCTGAAATACCCACACTGCTTTGGGGGCAAATTTGAAGGCAGCGACACAGCCAAAGGCTGGCAGCCCTTTGGTACTCACATGTCCTGCAAGCTTTGCTTCTGTGCCATGATCTCCAGCTCTTGGGGAAGCTGAGAAACAAGTCTGGGGGAGTCAACCCCCATTTACATCAGCCTTGAAGGGCTGGGAAGACCCCCACATTGTGTTCTGCAGCCCTCAAGCCCCCCCGAGGCAGGGTTGCTGAGGAGCAAACCCCACCATGGATGATGAGGGGTGGTGGCAGCCCTCTCCCTGCCAACGAAGCGATGTTTCCTCTGAGTAATCTGGCATCTCTCCCATTTGCACCTGGTGAACCCTTCAAGAGCTAATCAGTATTTTCACAGGTGTTTGTGAATATTCACCTCCATGCCAGGGAGTTGCTATGGAAGAGAGCAGCCAACCTTCGCTCTGGTTCAGCACCTGAGCAGCCCGCTGAGCATCTTTAGGCGAGCGGAGGAGAGCTGGGCTGGCTCACCATTTACGCTAAATTTCATGATAATTGAAGAACCTGCAGAAAACTCGGGCTGTTGTCTCAACGACCCTGAATAATGATTAACCCAAACCCATGAATCCAGCAATGGGCTTTTTTATCAGAAGGAAAACATTGTCAAATGAGTTTTTCCCAGCCAGCTGCAAGAGCAGGTAACTGATAAGCCCATCACTGGAGTGGGGCTGAGCCAATGGGAGCCGATGGCGACGGCTTTTACTTCTGTCTAGCAACAGCTTCTCCTTGAGCAGCAGACAGTGATTCAACGCTTTCCCTTCCTTTTACTGTGCTCCCCCCTTCCTGCCCTCCTGCTACGTGGAGATTTTCATGGGGACACTCAGAAATTGAGTTTTGCATGGGTTGCCCAGTTTTCTGCGTGTTTTTGGTGTATATTCCCATCCTGCATGGCAAGGGCTTTGCAGGTGTAAAAGAGGACGTGTGGCCCCATCCTGCTCGCATCCCAGTCTCTGCTCGCACCCTGCCTTGCTCGTGCACTCAGGGCTCTGGTTCTGCTGGGTGGGTGTCAGACACCCATAGGGTGCTTGCAACAGCACCACAGCAGAATAGTATCTGTGAGCAGGAGACCCCCCCCATCAGGGATGTGTCTGACCCTTCCATCCTGCATCACTGGCACCTGGCTGTGGTCCAGCTCCTTCTCAGGCTGGCAGGGGCTGTTTCCATGGGGACCACAGCTGGGAGTGGCATCCCCGGATCAAACAGCTGGTTTGCTTTGATGCTGGCTCTGGTTAGCACAGTATGTGTCTTTGAAGTGCCACGTAAGCCCCAAATGTCTCAGGGTGGAGCAATGCCAGTAACTAATAACAGTCCAGAACAAGCTCCTAACCTGGGGCAGTCTGTCCCCTCCCTGTGGGGACACTGAGGGATAATTTGCCCCATTTGCAGGGAGAGAGAGGAGGCTTTGCTCCAGCAACTCGCCAGAGACCAAACTGGTCACAGTGGAGGAAGGAACCAGCTTCCCTGCACCCGCTCCCCATCGGTACCCCCACCCACCAACACCCCTCTCCTCTACTCCCTAAGCATAAATTAGAAGGCAGAAAACTCACAGCCAGCTCTAAATTAAAATCTCAGGAGCCTTAATAACTCGCTTGGCCGGAAGAAGCGAAGAGGTGTGATGTGGAAATGAATGGGCACATCTGGCAGCCGCTTAGCACTTGGGCTGCAGAAGGGGGGTGCGTGTACATGTGTGTGCGTGTGCATGTGTGTGCGTGTGCGAAGCGCCGGCACAGCCTCCCGGATTGGCTGCAAAACCCCTTTCCGACCAATGCTGGGGACCAGGGTGGCCTAGCAACAGCCTTTCCCTAATGAAAAACAAGCCACTTCAGCATCGTGACTGTCTGTGGACGAGAGGAAAAGGCACAATTCCTGGCACACCCCATCCTCCCCAAGGAGCTGGTCCCAAAGGGGGCCCCAAAGGCTTGTGCCTGAGGGGCTGGGGTGTCCTGACCTGGGTACCCGTGTACCCCTCGGTCCCTGCGCCGCAGGTGGGTGCACGGGAAGGGTTTGCTGCCAGCAAAACACAGAGAAACCCTCGGGGGAGAAACCCTCAACTGTGGCT